TGAGTGATCACAGGCACCCTCTGAACCAGAGGAACATATTTGGGTGTCAGCAGGACCAGGTTGTGATCAGACCTGCCAAGCGGAGGAAGTGGCACTGTATGCATCCATAGCATTTGCATACAATAGGTCCAGTGTTGTAATGTCCATGTGGGGCAGTCAACATATTGATGAAAAGTTGGCAGGGCTTTATCCATGTGCTGTGATTAAAGTCCCCTGTGATCGCCAAAAATGCACCTGGATGTTGACTATGCAGTCCAGATACGGTGGAGTGGGTGGTGTCCACTGCAGCTTCTGTGTCAGCTGATGGTGCCACGTGAACAATGATAGCGGACGTGAACTCCCTCAACAAATAATATGGACGCATCCCCTCGGGTAACGCACACGTGGTCGGGATGGCACCACCTCTCATTCACAGACACGGCGATCCCGCAGCCTCTCTTGTAACCGCTCCGTACAGCGCCTCGGTCCGCCTGAACAGCTCAGTGATCCTCATGACTTAAGACGGCACGTACTTATAGCCCTTTGTGGTTTGAGGAAATCGTACTTGATTGTTGTTGTTCTGGGTCCGTACCCTTCTGGTTGAAAGCACTTAAATGAAATCTAAACGAAAAAATGCATCATAAAGAAAAGGATCACTGGGCTTGGTGTAAACATTGTACATACAGTTCAAATCAAGAATTCAAATAGAAAAATGCCCTTTGTGTTTGCGAGAAAAGAAGAGTTTATAACGAGTGTTATCACCCAGATATTGATTTGGATGTGAAGGTTGCTTTTGGGCTCCGCTGTGTTCATCCTCACCTTCACTCCACTCATTAGATGTTTTTAGTGAGTTTGCATCCCTCTCTTGCAGCAGGACCTCCTCTGTGCATTATTGGTTCCCCCGTCAGTTAGAGGTGGTCCTGATTGGAAGAGCCCCGCGATGGGCGGGACCACCGACACGCTCTCCTCCACGTGACGGATGGTGGAAGATGGTGTTGCGAGGGCATGTGAGCCGCAGACATTCTGTGCGGGCCCAGAAGGGGGGGATAGACTGCCCCCGAACCATGGCTAAGCCTCCATTATGGGAGCAACTTGGGGAGGCTTCATTCTTTTTTTACCTCCCCTCTGTTAAAAATAGAAAATAGTCCACAAGACAGCCGGTGATGAACTGTCCTCTCACCATCCGTTCAGGGAAGTACACGCATCTACGACTTATGCCTCCTTCCATTCTGAGCTTCAGCTTACACCCCCCTTCATCCGCCTCTGCTTCCAGACACACGGGCAGACGGCACAGACTGTCCCCCTTTAGAGAGAAGGGGAGTAGGTGACTCAGTAAAAGAGGTGCAGAGGGGTGTATTGATGCTCTGCAGCTGTTCTCTTCGTGCAAGAAGTGCATCAGTGAGGCAGCTGAAGAATTAGCAAAGGCTATGACCGGCTAATTCAGTAATAAGGGTCAGATAATTACCAGAATTAAATGCCCAGATGGATAAAAACCAGAACAAGGTCACAGACCCATTCTTTTAAATACTGGAGTCTTGATTTAAAGTACCTTCTTGGATATACTGCGTAACAATAGTAAGGCCAGCAAGAGATAAAAGTAAGAGCTTCCTTATCCCTGCAAAATGAGAAGATAATTGTGGTTATATATGTTGATTAAAAAAATACTGTTGTACTTTTTTGGCCTTAGCATCACATTAGCTTCAAAAGTACAAAGTCAAAAACTGAAAAAAAGACTACAAGCGTCTCCTTTAGATGGTGTTAGACTAGACTCTAAGTTGAACCAGTGGGGATTATATTTTATTCAACTAAACATTCAGCACTCAATCAGCAATGTTAGAGATGATGGAGGACTAATCCCGGGCACACAGACACACAAACTACCGATTTACCACTCAGAATTCATACTCGTTTGAGAAGTATGTACTTAATTTCCAGCTAAGGGAAACTAAGGCAGAGTTCTCATTTCTGTTTCTGCTGTCTGACATGACAGCTGTTGCAGAAAGATTTCATCATGTGATTCACTAATTTTTATGCACATTTGACAAGTATTGCTTTCGAATCTTTGTATGGAACGGCAACATTTCATAAAGCACCCTCATTTTCAGAAGGGGTGATTGATTTTAAAGGGTTGCTTTGGTTAAAAAAAGTTAATCCACTAAATAGGACCTAATGGCCCCTTCGCCAAATAATTTTGACCTCATGTGTCACTTTACTTAGAAGGTGTCTCTGTTGTCATTGTCTTTGCGAATATTCCCGTAACTCGTAAATGTTTTTCTGCATCACTGAACAATATGAAACATTCCCTATAGAAAGGGTTAAATAAAAACCAACTCATGAAGAACCCAACATTTTTCCTTTGACCAAGGGATAAATGGCCAACTTCTTTTGCTTTTTAGTTTGCATCCTCTACTTATTCTATTCTACTGAATGCTGGTGGATTACAGCCATGTGTAGCCTATAGCACCAACTTCTGTCCAAACTACTACCAGTTTATGGCAAACTTAAGCCTAATTTAAAAGGTTTTCTTCAAAAGTGACTTGACTGTTGAATGAATGGAACAAGGCAGTCTTCATAAAGAATGACCGGGAACCCAGGAATGGCCGCTGAGGTACCTGGCAAGATCTTCACCGTCCAGAACCGGCTTGTCATCAAACAATCCAACCTGGAGCCTCTCAGCTTTTGAGAAGGTTGATTAGAGCAGCATCTTTCCTGGAGCTCGTTTTGAATTGGGAGTTTTGATCATAATTTCTAGTTCTAGAATATAAAACCCCCAAATGCTAAAAGTGGACATATTCTCATACATCTCATATTCCAGCGAAACCATGCACCTGGAATGCAGACTTTAGTTTAGTATCTGCAGGCTAACATTCCTGATAACAGGCTGTTATTATCTATCTCAATCCCCAGTGAGTGTACTCAGCTCTGAGCCTTCGCTGCAGCTGCCAGAAAGTGTGTTACACCACCTGCAGACTTGTATATTGAGGAAAAAGGGAGGTGAAAGGAGGCATTTGGTATCTGTGTGTGGGTGTTTTGCTCCAGAGCGTCTGTGTGGGGGACGATGGTGAGAGCAACCGCAGATGAGAGTGTGGTGCACCCTGCAGACTCACTGCTGTGGCTCAGCAGCTCTAAGAGGGTAGTCGTACCGTTTGTACGTGTACCATTGTTAAGGAGACTTTCTGGGATACTGGTTGAGTTTTATCACCGCAATAATCAGGCTTCACTGGCTTCTTACGTCATCTATTCCTATCTCAGTTACAGAGGCGCACGCAAAAATGTTGAAATTCAGTTTTGCATCAATCAGCATTCAGACATTGAGAGAATTGTCAGTTTGCGCCAATCTGATTAACATTGAGTGGCTGTCATGCTTCCAGCCATGTGCTTCTCTCCCTCCTGCTTTGCCATTGATTAAAGTCCTTGGACTGTCCACGTTCACCATTTTTATTTAAACAAGCTGTAGGATCATTTGAAAATATAACTGTTTTAGGGGTACGAATGGAGTTAAAGCTGAGCTGCAATTAAGAACCGAGTACCCTTTACTCGCCAGGTGTTATCTTAATTCGGCACTAGGTTTGCTTTCCACAATTCAAAATCGTTATTATTACTCATCGGCGTTTAGCATTGGAGTAAGTTAGTTAAGAAACGGAGTAAGAAATAGCATAAAGCAATGGTGTAAGCTAAGTCTATAATGTAAGTGTGAACTTCTAAATAGTTGTCACATTAGGTCAACTGATCCTAGCTGCCGCACACTACCATCCGAATGTGAAATGCCAATTCTGCAAAATAGGTATTATTTTGTTTTGTTTCTAAGGCAACTTTGTCGTGGTTAGCAGTGTGTCCTCACAGCAAGAAGGTTCCTCTCCTCCCCGTGTCTGCGTGGGTTCTGGGGATTAGGGTGACTCTAAATGGTCTGTAGGTGTGTGGATGTGAGAGTGAATGGTTTTGTGTCTCTGTGTCAGCCCTGTGATTGGCTCCAATCAGTCCAGGGCGGACCCCGTCTCTCGCCCCAGATGGGATTGTCCCATAAAATTCAGTGTGATATGTGCAAAAGTAACTTATTTTTAAATTCACCCAATGCAAGGAGATTTTTTAGATGCATGTTGCCTTTGTCGTTGCTGAGTTTCCCAAAGGAGCGTCCGTCTTAGTTTGTCAGACATGTGCATATATATTACCCCAGCGAGCTTGTTGCTGATTTTGATCTTTGCTTGCTCTCTTTCAGTTCTCTCTCGACTCCTCTAATTGGGATTCTTCTCTCTTTTCAGCATGAAGCTTTCAAAGAAAACCCACTTTCACAGAGAAAAGAGACAGTTCTGAAATCTCTCGATGTCTTTGATGAAATGATTTTGTCTCTTACCACAAGCCCAACTTGTTTTCTAAACCATACAATAAATATATGACTACAAACTAAATTAGTCATTAGCGGTAAAAGGATTGTATACATGTGTGGATAAATGTAACAAATGTAAAAAATAGTACACTTGAGCTACAATCAATTTGTTGATTTCAAAAACCAATTCACAAGCGCTTTCATAAAACAATGAAATGTTTATTTTTCACCTTCAATGTGCTTCATTCTACTTGTTGATATTGCAAATTCAGTATAACTACGTTTCTGGAACTTCTTTTTCTCCATTACCTGGGATTAATCCTAATCCTAAAAAGACACTAGCAAATGTGATATTCATTCTTACTGGAGTAGAGTACTTGACTAGTCTACTGTACTTGCCAAAAGGGTTTTAAAAACCATTTAGACTTTTTCTTGTAAAATGTTCTTCAATACAAAATGATAAAACAAATTTATGCTATGACCACCACTTTGAATAATTTACATTTAACTGTCTTTTTACCTTTTTGAATATGTTGATGCTGTAATAAAAGCATGAGCAGTTCAATCACAAATATGCATCAAATCTGGAGCATTCGGACAATGTTTTTAATGTGGCAACTGACTATTAGCAATGCAGAGCCAATATATGAATGCAAACAGAATTCTTACTTACATCGTTCTCTCTCTTCCATTCTAGGCCATGGAACCAAAGGTGTGTTTGAGCTGCTGGCAGGCTGGAGGAGAACGAGGGAAAACCTCCCCTTCAAGGAGCGCGTGGCGGACGCTTTTGCTGATGTGATGGTGTGCTACACCATGACCAGCTCCCTCTACATCATCACCTTCGGCATGGGGGCAAGCCCTTTCACCAACATCGAGTCGGTGAAGATTTTCTGCCAGAGCATGTGCGTTGCCATTGTGGTCAACTACTTCTACGTTTTCTCTTTCTACGGCTCGTGCCTGGTGTTTGCCGGACAGCTGGAGCAGAACCGCTACCACAGTGTTTTCTGTTGTAAAATCCCCTCGGTGGAGTACCTGGACCGCCAGCCCACATGGTTCAAAACCATGATGAGTGATGGCCATGACTTGTCCACACACCACGACAGCGTACCTTACCAGAATCACTTCATCCAGCACTTTCTTCGTGAGCACTATACAGAATGGATTACCAACACCTATGTCAAGCCTTTTGTAGTCATTCTATATCTGATATACGCCTCTTTTTCGTTCATGGGATGTTTACAGATCAGCGATGGATCAAACGTAGTGAACCTCTTGGCAAGTAACTCTCCGAGTGTTTCGTACGCTATGACGCAGCAGAAATACTTCAGCAACTACAGTCCCGTGATTGGGTTCTACATTTATGAGCCCGTCGAGTACTGGAACTCCACGGTGCAGGAACACCTGAAGACCCTGAGTCATGGTTTCAACAAGATCTCTTGGATGGACAACTTTTTCCACTACCTGCGTGTGGTAAATGTGAGCGCGTCGACCAAGAGTGACTTCATCTCCATCCTCAAGGGCTCCTTCCTTCGCAGCCCGGAGTACCAGCACTTCAATGAGGACATCATATTTTCCATGAACCGCGAAACCGAAGAGTACGACATTATCGCCTCGCGGATCTACCTGGTGGCGCGGACAGCAGAGAAGAAGCGAGAGGAGGTGGTGGAGCTTCTGGAAAAGCTTCGACCGTTGATGCTGATCAACAGCATCAAGTTCATTGCATTCAATCCTACGTTTGTGTTCATGGACCGCTACAGCTCCTCTGTTATCTCACCCATCCTGACCTCAGGCTTCAGCGTACTCACAATCCTCATCCTCACTTTCTTCCTGGTCATCAATCCGTTGGGAAACTTCTGGCTCATCCTCACGGTAACGTCCGTGGAGCTCGGCGTCTTGGGTTTGATGACTCTCTGGAACGTTGGCATGGACAGCATCTCAATTCTGTGCCTTATTTATACCCTCAACTTTGCCATGGATCACTGTGCACCACACCTTTACACTTTTGTGCTGGCCACCGACCACACTAGGACGCAGTGCATCAAGTTGGCACTGGAGGAGCACGGCGCTGCCATCCTGCAGAACGCATCCTGCTTTGTGATCGGGATCATGCCCTTGGTGTTTGTGCCTTCCAATCTGACCTACACACTGTTCAAGTGCTCCCTCCTCACGGCGGGCTGCACCGTGCTGCACTGCTTTGTCATCCTGCCCGTCTTCCTGACCTTCTTCCCGCCATCCAAGAAGAGACACAAGAAGAAGAAACGGGCCAAGCGCAAAGAGCGGGAGAGGGAGAGGGAGCGGGAGAGGGAAAGAGAAAGGGAGGAAATCGAGTGTATTGAAGTCAGGGAGAATCCTGATCATGTGACAAATGTCTGAGTAGTTATTCATTTTAGAATTGAGTATCAGTGGTTATCCGTCCCTTAGTGGTGGGTTAGAGGTATCCTCCAATGGTGAGGCGCCACTTGAGGTGAAGGGGAGCCTGATTAGTCCCCTAAGCAGTGGGAACTGGTCACTCCCAACCAATAGCAGCTAAGCTGGCCAGAGTAGAGCACCGCCCCACTGGTCAGTTATTCAGTCCTTCAGGTTGGACAGTGTATCTCATTTGCAACTGCAAACATGCCCGTAGTTCTAATGCTCTGCCAACTATTTGGTATGTTAAACGTTACTTCCCAGAAGTGAACAAAAACAAAACATACTCAAAATGAATTGTATGTGAGTCCATTTAAATATTTGTCATTCTATGTTCACGCCTGCCGCCCTTATCTCATGAGATGTGAGTGAGGAACATTGTGGTCTGTTAAGCCAAGGGAAAGTCGGTGAAAGTAGTTAGTCCAATAATACAAAAGTGTACAAATGAAACTGCACGAGACGACTGCACACACGCCTTACTCCTCACACCGTGAGAACAGAAAAAAGAAAAACCGTGGAGGGAACACATCATGCTTTTCTGTGACGTAAATAATGCTGAACAGCTGAAATTCTGCGGATGGCGAAGATTTATCTTGCACATCGTATCGTGCAAATTGAACCATTGAGGTTAAGGTTAGAGGAGACAACAATTCTGGCTTTATTCCAGAGGTCAGACAAGGTCGTAGACAATGGCAAAAGGAACTTCCATTGCCTGGGGGTTATGAAGAGGTGATTAGTGAGTCCAAAAGTGAAGGGCGTTTCCAAGGTTGCAAATATGAAACTTTTCTTGCAGGTTGATAACAATGGAATGTTCCTGAGAGAGGAATGTCTCTGTGATCCACTTACAAAAGTGTACTGGCATGACATTGGTAATTGTGATTTAAAAGTAGCAGTGGTGCCAAATAGTACACATCTATTTTTTATTTGACAAGAGCTCTTTTACAAAAAAAAAGTCAAGAAGATAATAATAGATAATTTGAATGATTGTAGGGGGGGTTCAGATCTCGTGAAGCAGGCTTTAAATTAAGCACCTTATGTTTAGTAGACTGTCTCTGAAGTGAAACTAGAACATCCAGGTTTTTGTTCCAGAACTAAGAAAAAGTTATTTAAAGTCATTATATATATATATATATATATATATATATATATATATATATATATTATAAGACCAAAACTTTTATTAAAGAAGTATTAATATTGGACTTACATTGATCAGGAGTTCCAAAAACAACGCCAAATAGTTACCAATGTTTCTCCGTATCTGCTACATGTGTAAATAAGCAATTGCTTTCTAATACATACCATCTTTTTAGGATATAATTTGATAATTTGTATAAATGTGTTTTTCAGCATGTTCTTACCCCCCCACGTAATCCAAAAATGCTGTTTGATATTATGAATATTCATATTTCTCCAGGCCTAAGACCGTTCTGGGTTATTCATTTTATTTTATCATCAATTTTTTATACAATCATCAAGAATTTGGAACAACATATTGCCAGGAAGTGACATTGTGACGTCTATTTGGAGCATTTGAACGTGAAGGTAACCTCACTCATACAAATACTCTTTTAATAGTCAGTCAAAGAACTCTAAAATGGCCGCAGTGCACCTAGATGGTTTGTAGTTATTCATATGTATGTATTATATGTGTCAAGCCCCGATAATAATCTCTGTTGCAGTAGCAAAACAAACACAGTGAAGGTCAGCAGCTCTGAGAGATACTGATCGTTGTATCCAGATCTTAGCCGGTGGCGTGTGATAGGGAGGCAGATGTGGCTGGTTGCAGACGAGTCAATATGTCCCTGAGGGATTAGCTGGGTCTTACTGGGCGGTCATGAGGGGACACTGCTTCCTCACAGAGGACAGCCTAAAAAGGTATCTATGGGGAGATTACAATGGTCACATTGGACCAAATGTGAGTAAGAAATATGTGTTTGACAAAAGGAGTTGGCGAGGGAGGAAGAATTAAAGTGGAAACTGAATAACTACTTGTCAAATTCCTCCTTCAGTAAAAATGAATAACAGTGAGCAAATGAGACAGAAAGGTAAAAAAGGACTCATAGTTTACCTACAATAATTTACAACAAACAAATGTCCCACAAAATGTCAATGATAACAACCTTAGAATTTTGATCAACCAAACAGTGGCCAACTTAGACTTATTTGTGCAGAAGCTGCAGTGAACGTCACATTATGTGAAAGCCATGTCACGTATGTATAGGAAAAAGTTTTGAAATGTTTGAAACACGGGAAAGAAATGCAAATCTGAAACAATTTACTTCCCAAAGTGAACTGTGTTTGCATGGCAAAGTATTGTATGTATGCATGCATTTAATTTTTCTGTATGAAGTCTGCATTGTTTTGTTTTTTTCTCGGGTTTTTGCTACGCTGTACTGACTTATGTTTGTTTCTTTGATGCATATTCTGTAACATCATGTGCTGCAAAAGAACAAAATGAGTAACATATGTTCCTACACAAAGGCTAAAGGATATTTCATGTGTAATATAACTGTAAATTACTATTTTCTATATTTTATAACAAAAATATACTATAGAAAGATTTTTAATCACAGCATTTTCTTAAAAAACATAATAAAAAGGGAAAAAGTTGAACAAAGTAGGCCAGTAATAAACAGTGGAATGTTACCAGTATAGTAGATCTTATTCCTTGCACACACTGGACTGTCAATGTATGCTTGTATATGGGAAAATGTGGAAGCCATTTTATTGTTTGTTTGTTGGTCTTAACTCTATTATGTACTTGGTCCTAACATTTAAGGAAGTCGTCCAGTACTCAACAGCATTTCTGAAAAACAGGACAGATTATTAGGGTTTGTAATAATCCCTTTTCCGAAAACCATAGGTCAAAAATGTACAAAACATGTCCGAAGCTATTACAGAATGCTATGGAGGCAGATATCTGGCATTACAGGTACGTACTTCCTAAATTAGTGTCCTGTTTAGGTCATTGCTGCCTAGTAAGCTATTGCTGTTACCTGGCTACTTTTAAATTTTTTTAGCTTTGTTAGAATTAGCATCATTCCCAATGCTAAATGCAATCAAATTAGGCAGCTCTGTATTAAAATAGCGTTATTAGCATTTAATAAAAATGTATTCAAGGCAACGCACTGATTCCTACCAATGGGTTATATAAGCAACATGGAATATACGGTATTTAAAGACGGATTTATATTATCCTCAAAGTCCCTTTGATAAAAATACAACCTTAAAAGGACCAGTGTGAAGAAATTCAGGGGATTTATTAGCGGAAATGAAATACAATATCCACAACTATGTTTTCACCTGAAAGACACCGTTGCTTTCCAACATGCTTGTGAAACTGCAAAGCACGGATCTGGGCCCCAGACACTTACTAGTGTTGTTGTGTCCAGGATCGCCTCAGAGCGAGGCTAATTGCTTTATCATGATGTTGCACATGGTGGAATACATCGCCTCAGTATGGTATGGCAACATGTGCAGATGAGTATTGCAAGACTATGAACTTGTATTATGTAGAATTATTCTTATTGTCGACAAATGCCCAGAAAAGACCATAAACAACATTTTTCTATCCAATGTTTTTAAGTTCCTCTGCTTGCGATCTTTGGGTCCTAAATCCACCAAGATAGGCTTGGTTCCAATACAATTTCATCTTCTCATAAGTTTGTTTCTTTGTTCAAATATAGTTTGAATCCTATATATTTGTAGTAGAATTCTGTTGTTTGAGTCACATTTATTCACTTGTTTTATGGTCATATATGAAACTAACCTTAATCCATGAGAAAAGAAGAAAAGAAATGATGATTACCAGACCTCTTCAAGCTTTGCAAATTCTTGAATGTTATGGATATGTTTCTTTGGATCCCTTCTACTACTATATGGTGTGTTGTAGCCCCTTATTGTCTTCTAGGGCAGTGGTCCCCAACCTTTTTTACCTTCACAGACATTTTCACGTCAGACAATATTTCGCAGAGTAACATATCTGTTAAGAAGGTCATGAAGGTCCGGCGGAATAATGGGGGGGGGGGGGTAGTAGTCGTTGTGGGCGGACCGACCGACCGACGGGGGCGGGGGGTAGTAGTCGCGCGTACATAATTAGGAGAGAATCCAGTCAATTTTCTAAATAAAACTTTTTTAGAAAAAAAATATATATATTCTTTCTGTGGTGTGACTCGGTACAAAATGGCCCATGGGCCGGTACCAGTCCGCAGCCCGGTGGTTGGGGACCACTGTTCTAGGGTATGTGACACTGTGATATTACAGCTGAAATGTTAGGTGAGGTTGCCTCAGAATCTATTTTCACGACAACCCAGACCCTGAATTAAACGAGGAATAAATCTGCTAAAATATTTGATGGTATGTGGAAAGTAAATGTTTGTGCAGGTAGATAGGATGTACTATCCTGTGACCATTCCCAGGTACCTATTCAGTTTGTACAGCCAGGGATTGTACAATGCAGGGCAATACAAATATGCAATAACCACTTTGCTTGTTGAATAATTTGCATTCCCACCACACCCTCAGAGGACAAATGTTTTATTTATGTCTTCTATATTGTATCCCAACTAAGCCCCCCAAAAGAAATCTAGTGACCCCATTCATCAAAACTATCCTTTTATCACAGCTACTGACATTTTTCATTAAGTATTAACAGAAAGTTAGCAATGTTAAGAGGTTTGTGTTGCTGTCAAAATATTTTTATGCTTCTTTTCGCTGCCCATAAAACATTGTCTAACCAATGGTTATGTATTACTTTTTAAATGTTAGGACTTAAACACATTAAACAAGGATACAATAGAGTAGTCTTTTAATTCAATGTATTTGGAGGAGCCCGGTTAGTTTGATTTTGCAGAAGTCAGGGCCTTAAATAACACGTTCTAAAAAGGTATACCACTCATTTTAAGAAGTTACCTGTGCTAGGTACGTCTAGTCCTCGTGGTCAACAACAGAAGAACTATCAGTAGTTTATGATTAATTTATAGAAACAAGTTTCTAATTGTTACAACATTGTAGAATCCTCTTTAAATATAGAATTGACTTAATGATTTTATTCATACAGTTACAATTTGCTACCGTTAACTATAAACTGGCCACCAAAGGTTTTTGCCATGGAAAATGTTAGTCATTAAAATGTTCTTGGAGTATAGGTTTTGAAATTAGGAGAATATCTCATATGGTAACTGTCTGAAACATAACTTGATGGAAATGGTTAATATTATCTTTCAAAAGAGAAAGAGAGATGTCTTCTAGCTGAGAACTGGCTGTCCTCAAATAATACCCATTTAAAATGCCACTATTTGCCACAAGTAAAAAATTACAAATTTGGACAAACTGATATTTCTATCTTAAGTTCGTAGCTTTAAAATGTAGCTTTTCACACTGCATATTGAATTGGCCTCAGGATGAAGTTCTCCAGATGTTCCATGTAGGGTTTTTAAAAGAAAACATTTTTCCTAACTCTTTTAAAATAAGAAAATTGATTTGGGGACACAACAGATACCTATGACAACCCTTCAAGTTACTCAGTGAGTAAATATTAGGTAAGTTACAGAGAAGCCAACATATGCAGCAATAACTGCACAATTAGATAGCAATTCTAATGTTTTGCTGGTTAGCTAATCTCTGGTTCTTCTGGAGCTTCTGCTTACTGATCATAATGATTAATCTGACTCCCTATATCCGACCAGAATGCGCTCTTAAAGTGGGTGGTATTCCTCCGTTAAGTGCTGTAAATCCTGGTAGCTTCATAAATCTGTGCTGTTCATTGCCTTACATGTGTTTTATAACATACCAATGCAGATGCTGACATCTTTAGGGTCTTAAAGTGTCTTTAGAAAGGAAAAAGTACACTGGGATGAGATGACAGTGACATGAAATGTCGGTGGTTGTTGGGTGAATGGAGGTGTAATAAATTGGATGAATGTGGGATTTAGATTTTTAAATATTGATTTGTAATTGTTTTTCTCATAACTGTTCATCTTACAAGAATGTCAGGTGTGCATGTTTGTTCCCAGACGTTGAACCGAGACATTACTTAAGAAAGAATTGTATTCCGTCATCTCCCAAACTGTAGTCGCTGTCGACACTTGTCCAAGTTGCTTTGTCAAATTCTAGTGTCACCCTGCAGCAGTGTACAGCTCTGCAAGGCTTTGTACTGGGCACACATATTTTCTACAGACAAACTGTAGGTTAAGCGTTTGGCGTTAGTGTTTTTCTGGTCCCCCTGTTATGCTTTGGAAGAATTTAAATTCTGTTTTGCTGGTTGATGCTTCTTTTACCAAGAGGGAACATTTAACCTTGTTTGACTGAAGTGATACAAGCAGAAAGGGGGAGAGGAAATGTAGGCGAGAGGCGTTAAGAGGGAGGATGAGGAAAAGACACATCGGCAAAACAGGGATTAATGAATTGTTTCAGGGGAAATCTAGAAAAAGGTAAGACAATGATTCAGTTCACTTGAGGGAAATGGAATACTTCATAATCATTTGATTCTATTGCATGTTTAAAATAAAGGGTAGCATGTTAGTATTCCACTAACCATAAAGGTGGGGGACTTGTATGGGACAGAATTTGTAACCAATGGCATATTATCCTGACATTTAGTTCCTTCTATAGTGAGTAAGATCGACAACTGCGCCTTTTCTGAGGCAAAAATTAGTAGTGGGTTGCTATTGAGCCCCCTGGCACACTTTCCCCCCTTAAACAAACTGCTATTTCTATGCTGGAGTATTATGGAGCCAAATCCAGGTCAAAGGTTTTGATCATTTGACAAATAAATGTGAACCTGAAAGTTTAAGTTTTGGTCTTGAACATAAAAAAATACAACAATGTATTCAAAATAAAAATGAGTGGACGAAAAGTATTTTTGGGTTGAATATAGTTTTTTTGAATAAAATATTTTTTTCAATCTTCACATATAATTATTTTTTGATATTCGTTTTAATTTTGAATACATTGTTGTATTTTTCAATGTTCAACAACAAAGCAACAGGTTCACATTAGTTTTTTCTGGATTTGGCTCCATAAATAGGCTTTGTACTGACGTTTGTATACAGAAAACCATCTGTAAAGTTTGAAGTTATATTTACCAAATGTTCTGTGCTCACAGGCAGTAGGAACAGGACCAGGACTCTATTCTCCGTCACACTGGAAGTTTTACTCAACACGGCGACATCCCAGTGGCTCTTTATAATCCCCCTAATGCTTTGCTTCCTGAACCAGCGGAGACTGGCAGCTCGAGTGGCTTGCTGTCATGTGGCGCTCCGTTGCAGCGTTATTGCGCCAAACTGCTTTGGCCCGGGATATTTTTGGCTTCCACCTTGTCTTAATCCTGTTGCGATTCTCCAATGGATTATTCATGCTTCCTCTCTCCTCTCCCATCTTCCCCCGTCCTATTCTCCAGTGCACCGCCCTTCAGCGACACCACCCCCATATATATATATATATATATATACACATAAGCTGCTGGGGGTGGTGTTGCTGAAGGGCTGTGTATATCATTTGTATATCAGTTGTATATCATTTATGAATTTATTAGGTTGTATATTACATCTGCAGTTCTCCTCATACTCCACAAACATGCAAATGACTTTGTTAATGAATCAATAATAATTCTTAGCACCACTACTTACCTTTTAAGGTGTCACTCCACTAAAAAGTCCACTGGGGGACGCACTCTGCGAGTGAGCGCATGCGTTAGACCAGGGGGGGATCGACAGCGTCGTTCCTCCAGGCAGGAGCGTCCATTAGAAAATGACCCCCCCCCGTTGACCGTATCATTGCCGAGGATTGGACTGGTCAGTATGTGGCCCCCTGCCTTACACACTGTGACATGTATGTTGTGACAGGAAGTAATTATCTGAGAATACGGTGCGAGCGTGTTCTCTTGCACCACGTCCATCATGTTGCTGTGCCATATTTCTACTACTAAAACTACAACAGCATGATGTCCACTTCCATAAACAATGGTCCCATTTTGAGTCGATTGGACATACAGCAGGGTGTGCTTTAGGGCGGGGCCACCTTATTATGACTATTATCTTCCTATAACATTGAGCTTTTAGGTCATGAAGGTCTTGTTATGACCACTTTAGTGACTCTCAGCCGCTCCTCTAGATGGCACCAAATGCTACACACTGGTCCTTTAAGTACAACGTTTGGGACACTGTGGTACTTAGTAGTATTCTGCTGACAATCTCTACGTACAGATATTGTTTTCACATTTAAAGCGCATTTAAAAAAATCTGCAGGCTTAGTAAGGATGTTAAGTCTGCTTCAGAACTGGTGTAGCTGCAAGGTGGCAGGCATGTATTCTAGAATGATAACTTCCAAATCTCTAGAATATATAAATAGCACAAAAAAATCAAATCTAATTGAAGAGAGAACTTTCAATACGTGTTTGTTACCCTTTGTCTTTCAAATCTAGTGATTTTGGTTGTTTGTTATTCTCAGCTGAACGTGAAACAAAGCCAATAACAAATCAGGAGCAAATAATCAAGCAGTCTTCCATAAATAGACATCTGGGGAAAAGTCCAACAGAACAGACCTCTTGGACATCAAGCTTAGCTAACAAACTAAATGGAGACGTGTCAGAATAAAACCGCCAAGGTCAACATGTCATCCCGAGTCCTCTTTCTAACATGCGGCATTGATTGAGCTCCTCTCAACATCTGGATGTGTGAATTTGAGCCCAGACTCACACACCGGATGCGTTTCT